TGATTTGAAAAACTAAAGAAATTACTACTTTTATTTGAGTTCTTCACACCACAAATTCTCTTTTCTTATTTGTTCTTCTTCTTCGGGAGTGAAATCATTAACAATACCAAATGTCTTTCTAATTTCTTCGGGGGTTTTTCCTCGAATCATATTAGCAACAGTTTTACATGTAACATCAAGTAATCCTTTTACATCCATAAAATTAGCTGCTTGGAGTAATTCAAACAATGTTGCTTGATCTACATTACAAAAATTCTTGTCCCAAGGTTCAATAGCAGTTGAATCTTTTTCTTTGTCATCACCAAGTAAAAATGAATGGTTGTGATGATAAGTCATAAACTCAATGACTTTTTCAAGAATTTTTCCACGAACATTCATAAATGGGATTGTTGGGTTATCTTCACTAAAGTCTTCAAGGAGATTTTTTACAACCCCTGAGTTTTTGGCAATTTCTCTATCAACCACAAATTGCATAAGATCACTACTTTGAAGAGTAACTGTTCTTCCACTTGTTGCCATTCTTTATATTTTTTCATTTTAGTTCATTTTTTTTAATTCTTTTTGATATTTTCAAATTTTTTGAATAAAAAAAGAAGAGAATAACAAAATTTTTAAATAACAATAAAAAATATAAGGAGTACAAAAGAAAGAAGTTAAAAAAAAAGAAAAATAACAAATGAACTAAAAAACAAAAGATTGTTTGTTGGAATGAATTATTCATGTATAAACGAAGGACATTCTAAACTTACTCCACTATGCCTTCCTGGTCCTGCACATCCAACAAATGTTCATGCATGCGATTGGGACTATGGATTAATTGCAATTGCATTTAATAGTATTATTTATATTATTAATCCACTCAGTTGTAATATGTGTTATGCATATAATGGGCATGCAAGTCCAGTTACTTCTGTTTGTTTTAAAACAAATGACTTTCTTTCTACATTAAGTTCTCCTAATAAATCTGATATAATTATTGCCTCAGGTGATATTAGTGGTAAAATTCATGTCTGGGGAATATGGTCTACTTCAAAACCAATAGAATTTGAATCTTTAGACCATTCTCCAGTTGTTGGATTACAATGGGATAGTTGTAGTTCATCAGCATTAATAGTACTTTATAGGAGTGGAACGTTGATATGTTACGATATTTTATCTGAAGAAAAACATAAATCTAAATGGGTTGTCAAAGATATATTTAAAGACCCCATTGGATTTAGTAATTCTATTTATGCAAGAGGCTCATTTGGTATTTATGGAGGACAAAGTATGTGTTTTTGTAATTTAGCTAGTTCAATATTTAAAGGGTATGAATTAGATACTTCAACACCAAATCTTTTAAGAGTTGAAGAAGGTGTTTTACGACTTAAATATTCAAATATTCGTCGTCAAGTTACTTATATTTTATTAACAAAACATTTCTTAATTTTTGATACAGCTCTTCGGTCTACTTTAGCAACAATTGATTTACCAGAAGAACCAGCTGATTTTACTCTTTTGTATAATGAAAAATATTTTGCTTTATTAACTCATAACGGAAATATTTTTGTTTATGAGATTATCAATCTTGTACAAATCCGTTCATATGGAAGAATGGAAATATCTTCAATCCTTGCAAAAGGAAATAGATTACATAAATATACCACTATTTCTATTGTCCCTGATGCTATGGATAACTCTAATCTTATTGTACGTATGCAAGAAGGTCCATTAATATTATTAAAATTAACTACAAATCCATACTCAATGGTAATTAAAGGTATTGTACAAACATTTCCTTCTACTATTCGTTGGTTTATATCTAAACAAATATATTCTGTAGGAATTACTGAAGATGGGATAATGTATGTACTAAAAGGAGGAGAAATATATAGAATGTTTGAGATAACGAAATTAAATCCAAAAGGATTATTTTGGTTAAATAATATTGTTGGAGTTTATGGAATCAAAGTAAAAGAACATTCAAAAGAAAATAAAAATTATATTATTTTTATTGATCCATTAAATGGAGAAATAAAAAGAACACTAAAACTAAGAAATTGTTATGGGGAAATAAAAAAAGTATGTTGTAAAGGAGATAATAAAAGTATCGTAGTTTGTTATACAAATTCTCTAGAAGAAATTGAAGTTGAAGGGTACAGAATAATACAATTTATAGAAAAATCAGTTATTGGAATATCATATGATAAAGAATTAATGATAATAGATAAAAATGAATATAAAAAATATGGAAGTGGAAAAGATATAGTCATAAAAGATGTAAGGAAAGGACAATTTAGTGCTATCGCAACAAAAGGTTTATATACTATTCTTGCAGATAATAAAGGATGTTTAACTAGAATATATAATAATAAAGTACAATCAATTATTCTCCCTGATAATAAACATATTTCTAAAATTGTTTTTAGCCCAACTAAAGATTGTAATAATGTTATCATTTTAGGAGAAAAAGTAATAGTATTTGATGTTGGTGGAATGCGTGTTTTAAGTGGACACACTAATTACTTGACAAGATTAAATCTTCCTATATTAGATGTTTTTTGGTTAAGCCAATATCCAGCAGTATTGGTTTCTACGGGAGAAGTTTTAGTACTTGACATGTGTCTATTTCTCTGTAATGGTTTGTTTAAAGAAACTATGAATCCTCTACCATTAAGTTGTATTGAACCAACAAAACGTAGAGATATTTTCTTTTTATTATTACATGGAATAAAATTAAAGAACCTTGATTATCCTATACCAAATAATGAAGATACTTTAGAACGTTTAATTGAAATATACTTTCGTTTTAAAGATGTTAAACATTGGAAATATTGGAATTTAATGAAGTGGGTTGTAGAACATAAATTACCAGAATCAGGAAGTCCATATATTACTGTCCAAAATTATGTTGTTGAAAAAGATGAAACAACAACACATTATTCCAATGCATTAAAAAATTATAACACTAAAAGTAAACTACAAATTGATTACCATGCCTTTGCATTAAGTGAAATGAGACTAGGTCGAAGAAATGATGCATTTACTCATTTCCTTAAAGTGTTAAAAAGTCCTTATGATGAAGAATATTTTAAATATGCAATGAGAGCATCTTTGTTATCATTAACTATGGATGGAAATAATTTGTCTAGACAACGATTAATTACTTCTTTATTTAATGATCCTTCAAGTGATAAAACTCATTTGATTCAATTACATAAATTATTAAATCAGAATAGAGAAGTATGTAAGTTATATATTGATATTGGTAAATTTGAAGAAGCAATGGTAGTGTCTTCATTATTCTTAGATGACGATGCAAAAACTGATATTTTTCTTTGTATTGTTTTAAAATATATTTATGACAATTGTTGGCCTAAAGCAATAGAAATGCTCACTTCAATGGGAAGACTTATTGATGTTATTCGTTTATATTTATATACTGGTCATGTAGAAATGGCAGCCCATGTGTCAATGGTGATTATCGAAAGAAATCTATTTGATCTTAATATGCCATTAAATCAAATTTATCAACTCATTCACGTTCCAAATCAAGATGAACGAAAATTTGGAACATTAAAAGAACTTATTCGTCAAGTAATATCAGAATATATCCATTGCTTAGAATTATTACCATCAAATGAATATCTTGTTGATGCCTTTAAACATTCAAAATTTAATATCTAACTGTAGTTTTCTTACTTAAAACTTTTTTTATAACATTCCATTCTAAAATTATTTTAATCAAATAAAACAACTTCCAAAAATTAAGATTTTTTGAGAATATGTTCTTGATTAACTAAAGCTATTTTGCTTAAACAGTTTAACCATTAACTAATTGTAGAAAATTTTCATTTTATTACTCACAATCTGGTCATATCATAAAAACAAATTAAATAAATAAAATCACTATTCATAATAGAAATTTTATTTATTTTCAAAAATTACAACCGAATTATTTGTTGTTCCACAAACAAGTCTTGTATCATTAAAAGAGCTACAACAAAATCCATTCACACGTGAAACAAAACTACAATTCTTTAAATGAGCACTATCACACTGTGTGATTGTAATGTAACCATGTTCACAAATTGAAATTACTTTTCTGTTGTAACAATTAACAGCTTTCACTGGGAAAAAATGAGCTGGTCTATCAATTACCTTAGAGGTATTTCGAATATCCCATAATCTTATTGAACAATCTTTACTTCCACTAATAATATAGTTTTCATCAAAATGATCAAAATCTGTAACATTTCCTAGATGCCCTTCAAGATGAAAAGCAGGAAATTGAACACATCTAATATCATATCCAATCATTTCATCTTTTCTTGCCACACAAATAATATCATCTGATATTAATTTGATTTGATTTATATCATTAGGAGATATTTTAATAATAGTTTTGTTATATGGTTCAGTAATACTAAAGCACTCAACTAAATCTCCCCATCCAATAACTTTATTCTTATAAAAAGATGTTCTTTCATAATATCCTATTTTATCTCTTGTTACTTTTTCTTTAGTAATATTATTAATTATTCCATTTTTAAATAATACAAAAACTCCTTCTTCTACACTATTTATTCCACATAAAGGAGCTGATCCAATAAATGACCAATCAATATTGTATTTATTTCCTTTGTTTAATATTCTAATTATTCCATTCTCTCCACCAACAATAACATTATCTTCTTTAATAATAACAGAATGTGGATTGCATTTTACATTACATTGGTATTTATAAACATCAAATCTAAACCAATTAACTTCTCTTTTGAAACTTCTTTTACTGAGTTCAAACCAGTTAGGTTCATAAAAATTTTCTTTTTTAATCGTTCTGTCAAAAGAATTTACATCCTGATATTTATTATAAACTTTTTTCCATACTCCTTTTGCTTGATTTGATTTTAATAAAGTTCGAAAATGAGTATTAGTTTGCATGAGAGAAAAAAGATGTTTTGGTTGTAAGAAGCTACATACTTTTAATTGTATTTGAACATCTAATTTAAGTAAATTAAAAGGAGATTCTTCTAATGGGCAGTTTTGAAAACTCTTTACAAGTTCTAATGTTTTGTATATAACAGTAACCGAATTATTATTTGAAGAAATTCTTTGGATCAATTTAAAAGGAAAAGCATTTAAATGTAAAAGAAGATATAATGCATGGCCATAAAGAATAACAAATAATGCTTTATGACTTGTACTATAATAATTTATTTCATCTTTCAAAGAAAAAAGTGAAAGATCAATATGGTATACTGATTGAATGATTGTTTCATTATTTTCTCTAAATACTTTATTTCCACTTGGTAATAATCTAAATAAAGTATGTTGTTTTGTACATTCAGGACAATGTTCAGATGTTAAAAGTGCAATTCCTTCTTCAGAATTGAATCTGTACATTCTAACAATATCAAATTGAGAATTAAATGATTTAATATGATAATAACTTTTAAATTCTTGTTGTTTAATAAGTTCTTGTGAAACAAAATAATTTTTATTCTTAGTATATCCATTGAGTAATGTTTCAACTCTTTTACTACTTCTCATTTCGCTTTGTATAACCATTTTCTTTTTATCTCCTGAAAGAAGAACTCTAATAACTTTATTTTGATGAACAATAAATGGATAAATTCTTGTTGATATATACAATGCCTTCTCAAATTCATCTTCAATACTTTTCATTGATTGTTTTCTTTGTTCATATCTACTGGCTTTTTCAAATGCCATAATACAACAGTGAATACTCCATGATATACAAGAATAAAATTTTATATCAAAATTTGAATACAATGTCATTAAATGAATAATAACTGCAGTAATTTTCACTGATTTTTTTGATTTTTTTTCTACAATAACTGTTAAGCTATGAAACAATCCATTTACAGTATTAACATTCTTAGACCAACACCTATTTTTTTCATTTACTACTTCTCTTGTACATATAATTACTCCATTATTTGTTACATCTTCATGTATTGGATATATTTTATAAGTTCCATCTTTTAATATCTCTACTTTATCTATATAATCATCATATTTTACACCTTCAATATAATTTTCTATATGATGATAAGCTTCTTGTAATGAAATTGGTAATACACTTTCACATGACTGAAAAATACGTCCATTTTCAATTTTTTTTCTATAAATACATTCAAAATCACTTGAAATAGATATTCCATTTAGAATGTCCCATGTACTGATTTCATTATATTGAAATTCAGCCATTTGAGTTATCAGTTCATTTTTCTTTTTTACTCTAAATTCTTTTCTGTTACTCTAATTCTTCCATATTTCTACACAAAAAATTTTTTCTTTTTTTTTTGATTTTTCTTTCATCTTCTGTTTTCTTCTACTTTTTTAGAGAATTTTCCATTTATCTTTTTCTTCATTACTTCCATTCTCTAAAAAATTTTATTAATAACATAAATTTTTTATTTTTTTGTTATTAATAAAAATGATAAAATTAAAAAAACTTAAAAAACTAAAAAAATTTTAAAATAAAAATGACAAGTGAAAACACAAATTTTGAACTTGAGATTAGTGATGATGGAAATGACGCTGATGAGTTTTTACAGAAGGCTTCTCAAATTGCAAGTGAAACTGCTTTTCTTGAAGATGATGGGTTTATTCAAAATCCTATTCAAAATAGTGAGTCAACATTAACTTCTAACTCTACTATTAATGGCCCTCAGTCTGAAACAGAAAAAGAACAAAAAAATACCACACAACAACCAATCGATTTAGAAAATGAACTCCCTTTACTTGAAGAATTAGGTATTGACTTTAATAAAATTGGTAAAAAAATGGTTCAAAGTTTAAATCCATTCTCAACACCAGATGTAAGTGAGAGTGATGTTATTGGTTCAATAATTATTTCATTTGCACTAGGAATAGTTATTTTATTAAATGGTAAATTAAGATTTGGAAACATTTATGGATTTAGTATTATAGCTTCTTTTGTTGAATATTTAGTAATGAATCTATTGTCTAATAAAAATATGAATTATTTATTAATATTCACTCACTTTACTTATAATCTTTTCCCAATGACCTTTTTTGGGTTAATATTATTCCTCTTGAATAGTTTTAAAGCCACGTTTGTATTATTTTTTAGTTTTACTTATAATAACGATTCTTATTATTAGAAATTAACCATAT